TTTTAAACAATAGGTAGTCTGTTAGCGTTGGTCAGTAGTAGTCCAAATTCAATACGAACGTTTGTTTCTTGAAAATTTGATCACGATTTAAATACAGTATTTACTTTTAATATTACAGATATGTCATCGAAAAGAAAACGTGTTGTATTATCTTTAAAAGACAAATTAAAGTATTTGTTTCGATTATCCGGATTTTTCATTATCCGGACTACCTTCATCCCCAATTAGTCCGGATAATCGAGGTTCTACTGTATTTATAGATTAATTTACATAAGTTATATATATGAGTTAATTTCGGTGAAATTTAAAAATTAACCGACCGAACAGATATCAGTGATAAAAATGCCAAATTAAATTTGCTTGTTGATATAAAATTTCTCTGATTCGCGAGTTCCATGAATTAATTTCATGATTCATGAAATTAATCTATCCAATTTCGAAATTTCTCCCCGTCGCGTGTCGCTCCGGGTTGAATTTTTGCCGTTTTTGAAAAAAATAATCGTGGCTATTGTATCGTCCGAAATTATTTTATTATTTTGTGAAAATAATATATGTATATTAATAAATGTAAAAAGAAAACAAATTATATTTCGGAAGTTAGTTTTAAGCAGGAACCCAGAGCATAGTCTGGGTTCTATGCTATCAATGGTGGTTAGGCTTTAACCAATCACAATTCAGTTAATGTGTTTTTGTCACATGACTACAACCCGCTATTTTCGAACAGTGATGCCAACTTTTGGGCTTTCTCCCTAAATTTAAGAGGAAATCATCTGGATGGGAAAAATTTAAAAAACGGATTTTATATTTTTCCCTTATCTGACAAATCACTCCGGCTCAGGCCGATTCGTGTCTCCCCTTATGCTGCGTGGACAATAGTGTTAAAAGTAACTTTTATAATGTTAATTAATTATTTCTACGATAGAGCATTTTCTTGTGACACTTCGTCTCTAGCTTATCTCGTAATTTATTGCATAACACTAATGGCTTCGGAAGACAGTGTAGGTGTTTTTTAAAAATTAGCACGCATATAAATTTTCCATCCTTGGTCTTAATCGTAGCTTTATATACTGTAGTTGAAGTACAAATGTGTGCATCCGTAG